AAAAAAAAAAAAAAAAAAAAAAAAAAAAAAAAAAAAAAAAAAAAAAAAAAAAAAAAAAAAAAAATCCATTAAAATAGCAAAATTATATAATAAATTACAAAATGGAAAGAGCTTAGGGCCCAATCACTGTTTTTAATTTTTTTTTTTTTTTTAAAAAAAGACCCATATAATATTTGTGGGTTCCTACAAATTTTTCAAAAGCCATTTTTCAAAATTCATCCATGGTGATGTGATGGAAAAAGTTGGTAAAAGATTACAATTTTAGTGTTTTATGAGCGTTTTGAACGAGTCAAAAGCTTGTAAAGTAAATAAAAGAAAAGGCGTATCAGGTAATTTTTCCTTTCATTAAACAGTTAAATTACTGTCGAAAATGTTGTGAATGAGAATCATATGCTCCCCACATTAGTAATGATATGATATTATTTAATTTGGATATACATTCTCGTAATTTTGTTTTTTTGTTTCATTGAAAAAATTTCGTATAAATAAAGACAATTGTGTCGTGAATCGAATATGAAATTTTGATTTCATTCCTCTTATTTATATATATATATATATATATATATTTATTTGTCTCCTCTTTTCTAAGCGAACTCTTCTTCTTTATGAGATATCACTTATTTGATGTCTAGATCAACTCTTTTGTCCACTTTTTGGGAGCACAGGTGGTCGATTCAATAAAACTCAATCACATATCACATTGTGAAATAATTTGGTATTGACTACTTTATCGTGCCTTTAATCCAATTTGTCCTTCGAGCTACACTTGTTGTAGCTCGACATTTAAGATTGAGGGAAGACCAAAAAATTTTGAAACTTTTGGTGAGTTTTGAACGAAAGGAGATTTACTTTATAAATTGGATATAAAGTCCGATTGAGAATCATAAATTTCCCATAATTTATCCTTTTTATAAGAGTAGTACCATAAGGATTATCATCACGTGCTAATTTCAAAAAAATAATGGTTACTTATTAAATATTTTTTAACATACTTGAACATGCATGTATTACTCTTACTTTTTAGGTAAAAATAAGACATCCTTGTCTGGATGTACGAATGACAGCGTCGTGGTGACAACAATGGAACCGAAGTTAGGGTAAATATATTGTTCTTCTGGCCCTTAAGGTATGATTCCGTAAATTTTTAATATTTTTTTTTTTCACATAATAGACATGTCATGCATGTAGTAATGACCATATTTTTAATTGACCTTATTTTTAATTTTTTTTTTCTTGAAGGTACGAATTTGTTACAAGCAAATGATTTAAAAAACTTAAAAACATGTCACGATTTTTAACCGTGTTCTTATTGCACATGCATCAACGATAGATTGAAGTACATAGACTCAATGACTTGACAAATCATGAATGGATAGCTCACATATAATACTTTTCCGAGCTCAGCTTAGTAGATAATGCACCAGTGATGAGCTCAAATGTTGATGGTTCGATCTCCCACTCCATGATAGTCGAACTAAAAGAAATGGGCTTTAAATTAATATATCTCAAACAACATTTTAAAAAATTGTTTTGCTTTTCACTCATATCATGAACTTGTTATCATTCTCACCCTGCAAACATCACTAAAAACAATCACAGCTTGTTTTCAACCACAAAGTTTTGAAGCCATCTTGCAAGAACTTTCAAAGTTTCTGCATCAAACTTTCACATCCAATTCCAATTATTCTACTAAGCTTAATGCCTTCTCCGTACAAGAAGAGCGTATTCATGTCGCTGCGACCATGGTTTAGATATTAACTCGACGACATGTTCAAAGCAGTAGCAGTAGCAGTAGCAGGAGTAGGAGTAGTAGTAGTAATAATACATAAACTCGATTTTATTATGCCACTAAAAAAATATAATTACAAAATGTATATACAGATAAAAGTAGAAAAAAAATAGAACTGGCTTACATCTCAGATAAGAGGTTGCTGATTTTCCGAAGCTCCTTCAGAGCTGCCATGGCTGTTACTTGCCCTTTCCCAACTAAAGGATTCTTCGACAAATTCTCCAACGGTCCTACCTGACCGCATTCTTGCTGAAACACGGTTTCGATAACCTGTCAACCAACCAGATTGTCACAAATTGTAAGAATGGAATGATATCTCTCAACCAGAATTTCCATAACCTCTTGAGAGTTTTGGGAATATTACCTGTATGTGATCGAGCATAGATTGACCGAGATTCTTGAGAGTCCCCATTACGTGTTGATCGACACCGTCTCCTTTGATGCTAACAGAAGTACTACAAGCACCATCAGCTTTTATCGGATTACTCTCAGCTGCTGTCGATTTGGAAGCCTCACAGTCAGCTTTCCCCTCAGCAGCAGCATTTCTGCCAAACTTCCAAAACCATGGAAATTTTCCTATTAGTTTTCTATCCTTTGTCCCTACTGCTGCATTGGCCTCAGAATCATTGGTGCACCCAGGTTTTTCAGGGATGATCTCGAGCTGACCAGGATATGGAAGAGGGGGGCCGTCCACGACAGACCGAGACTGATCGTCATTTTCATCCGAGGACAAATTCGACGCGACGCTGCTTCGGCTCGAGTCATTTATGTCATGCTCGGTGTCATTGACTCCACCGAAGGAACTTGTTGGGTCTGAGAATATTGAAGAGTTTTCTTCACTGCCACATCTCTTGTCTTCAGCATTTTCCATGTACTTCTCGCAGCCATCTTGTCCATCCACCTCGCCTTCGACCGAGAGATCATCCTTGCTGTCAAGGACTTCATCATTCCCACATTTTTCAATGTCTTCCTCTGCACCTAGTTCACGCGACAAATCTTCCAGTAACCTTCGCCTAACAGAGGATTTCGTGTTCTTCCTCCCACCAGCCAGCTTCGCTGGAGATGGGTCAGATTCCGTCCGATACAGGGACCTCACTTTCTCTGACCATCCTTTCTTTTGGGCTACATTCTGATTTCTTGAGCCATTTTGTTTAGCTTCTTGTTCCTTTCTCCACTTTTCCTCCCAGTAACTCTCAGGAACGTGATTTAACGGAGTTTTTGGTGACACGGAACCAGATGAATGGCCATTACCTCGAGCAACCATAGACTTACTGTGATGGTGATAAGCTCCAGACAAGAGGGGTGTAGATGAGATATTAGACTGCCTTGCTAAAGTCTGCAAAGATTTTGCCTTCTCTATTAGTTTTTTCAAATCCACATTCTTGGGGAAGTTCAACAATCTCTGGAGACATAAAGTTGCATTTTCTGTGGCAAGTAAAGATGATCGCAGATAAAGTAACATAGAAACAGCTATAGCAGCAATAAATGCACCACGAGATGAACTCAGGAAGCCGAAGCTCGAGCTCGTCTCAGGTTCATCACTTCTGTCAAATTTACTATTATCCGATGCAAATATTTCGTCCCAAATGGTCAAGAGATCTTCAAGCAAAAATTCACGACCAAATAAAACCCTTAACCAGCGGAGAGAGAAGTACTGTGGTTCTACACCCAGTTCGACAAGGTGAGCATGTAAGGATGAATCGACATGTGACAGCAAGTGGTATAAAGCAGCAGACGCTTCGATTACAGGAGGCAGTCCTGAAAGTGAACCACCTGCAGGCGTCGGAGAGAAAAAGTCGGCCATTGCAACTGCCCCGTGGGCTCCACTCATCAATGCATCAAACATAGAATATGCATCATGTTCAATAAATCTCTCGGAAAGGACAATGCCCAGTTCCCCTTCAGCTCCGTACGCATCAGTCAACAATATAATGGTTTGTATTTCGGGATCTAACTCCGAAAGAGTTTTCACATTTTCCACATTTCCATCAACTCCAGACTCATTTTCGGTTGGATCCAGACGGTTTTTGAAATCAAAATTATATTTCAAACTACCATCTTGAAATGAGAGTCCATCAAACTTGTCAGCAAATTGGTCTTCATAAAGCTTTCTCACTTGAGAAAGCCTCTCTACGTCAACATGAAGAACATATAACAAAGGAGCCAAAAGTTCGTGCATTCCTACAGGTACAGAACACAGGAGTATAGCTTAGAAATATAACAGCAAGAAGTTAATCAAATCATAAGTCGAGAAAACTGCACGTATTGCAGATTAAGTAGATAAACTCTCAAGCACATTTTTATCATCAACATCGACACGTGAACCTTCAAGGGATGGGAATGGCAAAGACCATACAAGGTTATAAGTTGGCATCTAACCACTACAAAGAATAGTTCCGATCATTATTCAACTAACTACTGTGATTAGCACACGAGAACGGTAGCAAATTATGTGACAGTTTCTCCACAGTCCTTAGACTCACACTTGTAGGAGGTTGCACGATACATTCAGACAAAAGGGCTTTATAATAGCCCTTGGTAACATGGAGAACGGTCAACAACGTTCATCATACCATTTAAATAATTCTCGCCTTCAAAATTTAAGAAAAATAGAGCATTATATTTCATTAGTAATTGCTAATCTCTTAAATAAAACTCATTATCATTAAATATCATAATAGAAGAAATTATTCTACATAGCTCCTCTCCCAATATCTCGAAAATCTTTTGCATCCTTTACTTGAAAATTTTAATTAATAAAGTTTTGAATTACCTTGTCTATAGCCAAATTGAGGATGCTGAAGGCACCATAACAATAAAATTCTTCTAAGCAAGCCTTGACATCCAGGCGTCTGGAAGTAGCTTCCGTGTTCTGGATATAAACGCGATAAATCCTGGTCAACCATTTTCTCCAGCTCAGCGCTCCGAAAGAAGCGGCCCCACATGCTATCTGCAGTACAGGATGGTGGCAATTACAAGCAAATATTGTTACTTAAATGAACTCATCCAACAATTTAACAAATTAGTATCGCCATCTTCGCACTTGAGCTAAAGAAAACAGCATATTTCACGAGTAAAACCTAAGGCATTAAGATTTAGAACCATTCGAAACTAGATTCGACATGGAAGAGGAGTCGTAAATTTACCTGGGTTCTGTGATAGAGGATTGTCCATTGCAATATCAGGAGAATTGCTTCCATCCTTGGAAATGTGTGGATCAACAAGGTGGCGTCTTCTCAAGATTGCATATCTGAAAGAAAGAAATAAAGGAAAAGGTAACATATTTAATTTTGAATTAAAAAGTGGAAAAGAAATCAGATATGGAATTGTTCATATTATATTGATTCTTAAGAAGAAACATATCATCATTGTTGATAAACAGTCGTCTAAATCATTGCATTCTACAACAAAAACAATCGATGCTCTGTATGAAACTATAAGCTCAACATTGCAAAAGAAACTGATTTGGGAACTTGAAAAACAAAATCCAAACGAACAAAAACCAAGGGAAATCTAGATAGCCTGCACCGATTATCATCTCAGGAAATGACGAACAGCGCAAAAAAAGTTAGAAATCAAGGAAGAACATTCACGCAGAACGGAATCCATTATAAAATTTACGCTCCCGATTGCAGAATCGCTAATACCTAATCCAGATTGAGTAAATGGAAAAGGAATCGCAGCAATATAGCCGTCAATCGAAGAAACAAATAGGAGAAAAAACGGGAACTCCGGCAAGACAAACCTTCTTCTCGAATCGGCTGTAACGCGACGAAGATCATCAATAGAAGCTAGAGAAGAAGACGGCAAAACCCCAAGATTTATGCGCCATCGTACACCTCTAAGATCGCCAAACCGGCGCTTATCCTCAGAATTCCGATGACAAACAGAGGCAGAGCACGAAGAGGACGTCGCCGACGTCGATTCGGACAATGCCGCGACGATTTCAGAAGGCTCCATAGATTTCAACTCGATTATCTCGAACCGAATCCTCCGCGTTCTGAATCTACAGACGAAAATGAAATAAGAAAACAAGCAAAACCAGAAATGTCAACGAAATCCCATAAAACCCCACACAACAAACAGAGCAATTAAGAGGGTGCTAGAATTCTGCAACGGAAGAATCAGGAAAGATACGACGATCAAGGAAAAATCAAAACCCACCAAAGATCAAGAGAAATTGATGAGATTAAAAAAAAAAAAAAAAAAACATGTAAAATCAAAAGGAATGAGAGACTTACCTCTAAGACTATGAATGAAATGGGAGAAAACCGCAGGATTGAGTGATTATCCAGAATTCCATCATCTGGGTTATCAAATTTTTGGTGTTAAGAAGAAAAGGGGGAAGAACAATTTTGTTTCTTGAGAGAAGAAAGGAAAAAAAAAAAAAAAAAAATTGAGTTTTGTTGTAATGGCGCTGATAGGGCTTTTGGGGAGCTTGGTTTAGGGTCAGGTGAGCTGTCATCATCTGTTATTAGTAATTTTTAGACAATTTTTCTTTTCCTTTATTTAATTCCTTATATTCTCCTAATTAAATTTCTTTATTTAAATATTAAACCTAATTTTGGGTCCTTCTACCTCGACCGAAGACTTTAATCATTAGATAATCCATTTTTACCTAAGAAATTATTTTTGTTTTTGGAAGTAAATAAACGGAGAGATGGAGAGAGGAAACAATTTAATTTTGATAATTCAACCATTAAAATTATAATTAGGAATAATTAATATAATGAGAAAATAAAAGGGGTTGAGGTAGGGACATAATGGGAAATAAATAGGGTGGCGGAGGGTAAAAATGGAAGAATCATTCTTCACTACAAATCATTGGGAACGGGGAGAGAGAGAGAGAGGGGATAAGAGAGGGAAAGGCCGCCCATACTTTTCTAGCCCATCAAAATAGGACATTTGTCATCACACAATTATTTATTTATTTATTTATTTATTTATTTATTTATTTATAGGTCATCACTTTTTATATATATATTTTTAATAGAGGGTTCATTTTTAAAAAAATTATTGGATAATTTCTATTTTTCAAAATATATATATGGGGATTTAAAATCCAAAATAGTAATATAACCATATATTAATCTTAAAAAGAGCAAAAATAAATAAATAAAAATAAAATAAAATTGGTGGTGGTCGGTCAACGTGGTTTAATTTTTCTTGGAACAGGAAAGCAGTAGTGAGGGAAGAATTATCCATTGCGGACGTGGCAGAGACGTGGCAGAGACGTGGCTTGTCGTCCAAGTCATTAATTGACCTCAACCAAAAGAAAGACCTCTATTTTGTACAAATCTTATTCACGTGTCCTTTATTTACTCTCAATTTATTCAAATAATTTCAGAGAAAATTATCAATAAATAAATAAATAAATAATACTCTATTTATTAACCAAATTGAATTTTTTTTGTTTATTTAAAAAATAAAAATCTGTATTAAAATTCTACTAAATTCATGGTCAAAGAGTTGGAAAATAAAATAAAATAATAGCAAATTCCGGGAATCTAATTGCGTCCACGCCAATTATTTGTTAATGTCTTCTAATTATGTTGCTTTTACTTTATGTCTACATATTTTATTTTCCAAAAAATTTGGTTCATTTTTTATGTCTAACATTGGGGGGATAAAATTGTTAATTAATTATAATTTAAATTGTTTAATAACGATGATAATTTAAATTATAATAATATCTTTAAGCTTTAAAAAATAAATAAATAACTACTTTTATTTTAAAATATATTTAAACTTTTTGAAAAAAAATTTAAAATACCCTTAAATTGTATTTTAAATAAACCCCATTTGATATTTGATTAATTATGCTGTTTAGATCATTTTTATTTTGTTTTATATATTTATTTATTTCATATTTGATTGGTTGAAGTGGAAACAAAAAGCTCACTCTTTTGTTTTGTTGTGAGTGTTTAAGATCATTTTTAATTATTGTCCCACGCTGGACGACAACACATGCAATCAGCCAGTGTACCTGTTTTTTTTTATTATTATTATTCCTTCTTTTAATTGGAATTAATAATTTTTTTAAGAAAATAAGTGAATTAAATTTGTACCCAAAAATGTGATTAAAGTTATTTTTCCGTTCGGTTGGAAAATATTTTTGGATCAACTCGATATTTTCAGCCGATTGGTTCGATGACTCGAGTAACCCGAATAAAGTTCACAACCCAACTCAACCCTTTATTTTTTTTTAGTTAAATTGTCTGAGTTGTTTTTTTTTTTTTTTTAATTGTATGGATTACCATATATATTATATTAATAACTAAAATCTCATAAAATTTTCATATTAAACATTTACCTGTCACAACACATCATTAACATCGGTTACCAATGTTATATACTTTGTAAATGTAAGTAAGGTAAACCTCGATTCTAATCTTATTTTCATGTCTAACTAAAAAAAATTATCAACTACCAAACTGAACCAAATTTTTTATTTTTCGAAAATTCACCCGACTCAAATAATAAATAAAAAACGAACTCGATTCAACGTTTATAATTTGAGTTTTAGAATTGAACCTCCCAACGAACATCTGTTTGAGATCCAAACCACTAATCAAACCTCAATTTAGGAATTAGACCTCGACGAGCTAGGCTAAACTAATGATTTCTGCTTAGGTGAGTTTACTTTTAGTACACTTTCGAGCTAGGTTGAACAAATTGTATTTTATATAATTACGTAACTTATGGCTTATTTACATGTTACTACTCGTGATATGTTATGTTTATGAACGGTCTGTGATGTATGTACTTTTAGTATATGTTGGTGACACTATGATCATGTTATGCCTTATGTTATGTCTTATGAGACACTTGATGAACCATGATATGTCATGCTTACGCATATATATCTTATCGGGAATTCATGCATGATAAGTATGTAAGGATAATGTACATTCATAACTCTGTGCCATGATTTAAAATATGGGATCTCATGCATGTTGTATGTCAACAAAATGGGTTACTTCCCTAATATGTGATGTATGGACACGTATACTATGACATGATACACATTCCCTTCTTCCCCTTTGTTTTTAGGAGCACGGGCATGCGCTATTCTGTAGATCGTATACTACTCCACCCATTTTCTATTATTATCACTTCTTCTGAAATCCTAGTTGGAGAAGAGAATGAAACATTCTTCGTTAAGATGTAGAAACCTCTTCCTAGCCAATATGTTTTAAAACCATGAGGCTGAAGACGATATGTAACCGGCCAAGTAAGCGGTCAATAATTTTTTTTTGAAAAAAAACAGAAAATGTCGTAATAGAAATACGAACAGAGTACTTTCTTACTTTGTTACCGTATAAATCACCAAAAACCCTAAAAGAACATAAGATTATAGATAAAGCTCAACTTTTTAAATCTCGGGATTGACGATAAAATGAAGCATATCGAAAATTTTTGTCAGCTTTACAACTCCACGTCGTGTGATACCGTGAGATTATTCCTTATCCAAGGTTTTTACACATGGCTTTTTAATTTCGTTTCTTTAATTTCTAAGATGCTCTTCCTCTCTTCTTGTGACAAAAATGAATAAAAAACGTGTTGGATTATAGAGCGTGATGTTTATTTATAGGTTAGTCAACCGTTATATATACTAAAGCTATATATGATAAATGACATATAAGTTAAATTGTCCTCTATTTATCCGTAAAAAGCTATATGTCATAAATCAAAAGAGTAGATAATTATATATATAGTAGATAGTTATATCTGGTAAATGTATATATATATATATATATATATATATCCTCATAACTTTGAAAATGTACTCTTTGTATTTTCTTACCATAAAGTTTTAGTCAATATTCTCCTTGCATTTTATATTCTTGTTGTATTTTCTCTATCATGTTCTTTTTATTCATCTAGATCGAGTATGTTGTTGAGCAATCCTAACAAAACCAACACAATTATTGATTATAATATTAATGATGAAATCAAACCTTAAACATGTAATGATCTCAAATGTCGGATGTGGGGGCCTTATGTATTTCAATATTATGGACACTTTTTGGCTCCATCTTTTACATTATTAATTCTATTGGGACATCCACTTTAAACCCTTTTCAATTTTTTTCATTTTTTAAATTCAATTATTTTGAAAACTTTGAGGTTTGGTTCTCCCTTGTTTAATTTTTTTTTTAATTAATGATCAAAACAATGGTAATAATCCAAAAACATATTTATTTTCTTTCCTAAGAAATTAAAACTAGAAAAAAAAAAAAAAAAAAAAAAACAATAATAACCTTACCAAACAATTCCAAGAATATTAATTTGGAATTTGAATGTCTCTCTTTTTTTAAGTCTACCTTCACTCCCATTATTGGTTTTTATTAATACAATCGATTTATTTAGTCGGTGTCTCCCATTAAATATAAATCTAACATAGAGATGTCACCTAACTTGTATAGATCTACTCGAGACTAAAAGGAAATTTTTCGTCTAGACAAAGAAGGAGAACATTTTTCCTTATATGATAAACGAGGTTAGGGACAATATTATATTCCTTGTTCTCACGCATAATTGAAACCTAATTTGAAGAGTACGTGTGAGTATATTTGTAAAAATAATTACATTTTAAGAATTAAAAAGAAGTTTTTTTTTTTTTTTTTGGGTAAAGTTTAACTTATTTGTTATTAGGTTAAAAACTTTCAAATTTATTATTAGTGGTAGACCCTTATTTTGAGATCTCCTCTACCATTATTTGTGTTGCCTATGGTTGCATAGCAGATGTCTCGCTTTTACTTGTCCAGGACGTGTTGTCCATAGATACATGCTTGTTCCAAATTCTTTTACATGCTTTCATCGTAGATAAGTTTTTACCATTTTCACGGTGAACCAGATACCTACTACAGGCCAAGCAGCTAGGAAGAAGTGTAAAGAATGAGAGTTGTTGAAACTAGCATATTGGAAGATCAATCGGCCAAAATAACCATGAGTAGCTACGATATTATAAGTTTCTTCCTCTTGACCGAATTTGTAACCTTCATTAGCAGATTCATTTTCTGTGGTTTCCCTGATCAAACTAGAAGTTACCAAGAAACCATGCATAGCACTGAATAGGGAGCCGCCGAATACACCAGCTACACCTAACATGTGGAATGGGTGCATAAGGATGTTGTGCTCAGCCTGGAATACAATCATGAAGTTGAAAGTACCAGAGATTCCTAGAGGCATACCGTAAGAAAAGCTTCCTTGACCAATTGGGTAGATCAAGAAAACAGCAGTAGCAGCTGCAACAGGAGCTGAATATGCAACAGCAATCCAAGGACGCATACCCAGACGGAAACTAAGTTCCCACTCTCGACCCATGTAACATGCTACACCAAGTAAGAAGTGTAGAACAATTAGCTCATAAGGACCACCATTGTATAACCATTCATCAACGGAAGCTGCTTCCCAAATTGGGTAAA